ACCAATGATGGGGGCACTATTCCCCCACCAATACCAATGATGGGGCACTATTCCTCCCACTAATACCAATGATGGGGCACGATTCGTCCACTGACACCAATGATGGGGCACGATTCCTCCCACTGACACCAATGATGGGGCTACGATGAGTATCCTCCCACTGACACCAATGATGGGGCACGATTCCTCCCACTGACACCAATGATGGGGCACGATTCCTCCCACTGACACCAATGATGGGCACGATTCGAGATATAGCCCCACTGACACCAATGATGGGGCACGTTTTTTGCTTCTTATTCCTCCCACTGACACCAATGACTCTTGGGGCACTATTCCTCCCACTAATTCCAATGATGGGGCGCTATTCCTCCCACTGATACACACAAATGGTTTGATGGTGCTATTCCTCCCCACTGACACCAATGATGGGGCACGATTTGTCGCTCATTGACCCAATGATGGGACACTATTCCTCCCACTGACACCAATGATGGGGCACTATTCCTCCCACTGACACCAATGATGGGGCACTATTCCTCCCACTGACACCAATGATGGGGCACTATTCCTCCCACTGACACCAATGATGGGGCACTGTGATTCAGCTCCCACTGGTGAAGGCATTGGAAGAGAAGAGGTAGTCTTATACGGCGAGTATAGCCCAAACACTATATTTTAACAGGAAAAGAAGGGGGTCAGAAAGTCTTATACGCCCAGTTGTCTTATACGCCGGAAAATACGGTATATATTACACACACACTGCGTTTGCTCCTTCACCAGTTGTGCTCTCACTGATGTATATGAGCAAACCATTAAGTGAGTTCATACAAGCTTGTGTCCCTTTTTAATTGGCTCAGAATTGGACAGATGGATAAATCCCTGTATCCCAGATGGTTGGATGAGTGGCGTTTTTTCTTTTTCCAGCAGGGCTAGATAGGCTGCAGCCATTGTGTCAAGCCGTTTCACGTTTAAAGATCGTTTGCCATTATCAAGAGATCCTTTTCCTGAATGTGGATGGATGGAGTTATCCCTTGGGGGTTTTCCTGTGAGCTAGGGGTCTTTGGCTCCTTTCAAACTTTTTGTAAATCCTATCTATCTATCAATGTATCTGGCCAAAATCTATCAATTTATCTATTTTGGCCACATCTGTATCTATCTATCTATCTATCTATCTATCTATCTATCCCCTCTGCTGCCACTTCCACCAATGTGTGGAAGTGGCAGCAGAGGGAACACATCACTAGCGTCACCTTATGGAAATATACCAGGACTCAGTTTGTTTTGCACTAATTGATTTGTGCACTAATTGATATTGATAGTGGAGCGTTACACAAAATGATTTTTTAATTTGATAAAGACCCATTGCTATGAGTATGTGTGTAGTGTAGGTGACCCACTTATTCTCTTTTAAATTCATTTATTTACTTATTTAATTTAGTCACTTAATTATTTATATTTAATTTATTTTACTCACCTAATTAAAATTATCAGTAAATTTAAATACACCATAGTAGCTTAGAAGAATCACATTTAGAAATGTCTTTCTTTTGCCACTCTTCTATAAAGACCAGATTTGTTGAGTGTACGACTAGTAGTTGTCTTGTGGACAGATTCTCCCACCTGAGCTGTGGATCTCTCTACAGCTTCTCCAGAGTTACCATGGACTGCTTCTCTGATTAATGCTCTCCTTGCCTGGCAAAAGAAAATCGTGCACTGCCAAATAATGAGAATACTAATAGATGAACTGCTGGAAACACGTGTTATGTGTGTAAACATGAAAAACAGACTAAAACAAAATGAAAGTGTCGCTCTGCTAGCATAAATCAATACATAAAAATATACGAACAAAAACGTGACTGATGAAGTCACGTGGAGTGTGACGATAAGTATAAGGTGACGTCAGCGCTCCTACATCGTTCCGACAGGCAGGGTCTTGCTCTCCATTGTTTGATTCTGACCGCTGTTTCTTGCGTTTTTTTAACACTATTATCATGTGAGTTCATAGGCTTTAATAAATATATGCCTTTTAAAGAAGCCTACTGCACTATGGTCTACTTTGTGGTTGTCAAGCTTTATCCACAGAGCTGGCTGACTGAAATCTCCGGTGCCATTTGTGAAGGTCCAGTGGTGATTCATAAGGGGAAGAGTGCACAGAGGAGCAAGTTATGTGTTACCCCCACTAATAGGGGAGATGCTTTGTTTGCCCTGTGTCCATATACAGGTCCATGTGAGAAGGTGAGAGTTCACCTTGAAGTCTTTGTTCACTGTGGTGATTCACATGTATTGAAGATATACAGCACTGGGATTTTGGGTGCAATCACCAGGAAGATTTTTTCACTTATTTGGATTTTTTTTTCAAGAATTGCATTTATTTTTATTATGTTTTATCATCTTTTGGGACTATCAGTCACGTTTTTGTTTGTATATTTATATGTATTGATTTATGCTAGCAGCACGACACTTTCATTTGTTTTAGTAGGTTTGCAGTTGTGCCATACCCTTTCCGTTTTCAGATGATGAATCGATGGAGTGCTCCATGAGATGTTCAAAGCTTGGGATATTTTTTTTTATACCCTAACCCTGCTTTAAACTTCTCCACATTTTTATCCCTGACCTGTCTGGCGTGGTCCTTGGCCTTCATGATGCTGTTTGTTCACTAATGTTCTCTAATAAACCTCTGAGGGCTTCACAGAATAGTTGTATTTATACTGAGATAAAATTACGCACAGGTGGACTCTATTTACTAATTAGGTGACTTCTGAAGACAGTTGGTTCCACTAGATTTTAGTTAGGGGTATCAGAGTAATGGGGGCTAAATGCAAATGCTTGCCACACTTTTCAGATATTTATTTGTAAAAATTTTGAAAACCATTTATTATTTTCCTTCTACTTCACATTTATGTGCCACTTTGTGTTGGTCTATCCCAGAAAATCCCAATAAAATACCTTTTACGTTTTTGGTTGTAACATGACAAAATGTTGAAAATTTCAATGGGTATGAATACTTTTTCAAGGCACTGTATATAAGAAATCAATAATACAGATCTAATTGGATAAAACATTACAGTTTTTATTCAACAAGATATAAAAACAAACTACATATAATAAAGTGAATAGACGGTAATTCAAAGTTACACTTGTTGACAATAATATTACACTTGTTGGCAATAATAGTGCGTTTCGTGGTTACAACCGCTTCTTCAGATCTTGCACACAAGTGTAACAAGTGTAGCATCTCTATAAGTGAAAAACATATATACAGTGCATCCAGAAAGTATTCACAGCGCTTAACTTTTGCCACATTTTATGTTACAGCCTTATTCCAAAATCAACATTCTACAAACAATACCCCATAATGACAACGTGAAAGATGTTTGTTTTGAAATCTTTGCAATTATTAAAAATAAAAAACAAAAAAACAAAACAAAACACATGTACAGAAGTATTCACAGCCTTTGCCATGACACTCAAAATTGAGCTCTGGTGCATCCTGTTCCCACTGATCATCCTTGAGATGGTTTCCACAACTTAATTGGAGACCACTGTGGGAAATTCAGTTGATTGGACATGATTAGACCTGTCTATATAAGGTCCCACAGTTAACAGTGCATGTCAGAGCACAAACCAAGCCATGAAGTCCAAGGAATTGTCCGTAGACCTCCGAGACAGGATTGTATCAAGGCACAGATCTGGGGAAGGGTACAGAAAAATTTCTGCAGCATTGAAGTTTCCAATGAGCACAGTGGCCTCCATCGTCCGTAAATGGAAGACGTTTGGAACCACCAGGAATCTTCCTAGAGTGGGCCACCCGGCCAAAATGAGCAATCAAAGGAGAAGGACTTTAGGCAGGGAGGTAACCAAGCACCCAATGGTTACTCTGAAAGAGCTCCAGCGTTTCTCTGTGGAGAGAGGAGAACCTCCCAGAAGAACAACCATCTCTGCAGCACTCCACCAATCAGGCCTGTATGGTAGAGTGGCCAGACAGGAGCCACTCCTCAGTAAAAGGCAAATGGCAGCCTGGCTGGAGTTTGCCAAAAGGCACCTGAGGGACTCTCAGACCGTGAGAAACAAAACTCTCTGGTCTGATGAAACAAAGATTGAACTCTTTGGCCTGAATGCCAAGCGTCATGTCTTGAGGAAACCAGGGCACCGCTCACCACCTGGCCAATACCATCCCTACAGTGAAGCATGAGTTTGGCAGCATCATGCTGTGGGGATGTTTTTCAGCGGCAGGAACTGGGAGACTAGTCAGGATTTAAGAAAAGATAACTGTACAGAGACATCCTTGATGAAAACCAGAGCGCTCTGGACCTTAGACTGGTGCGATGGTTCATCTTTCAACAGGACAACGATCCTAAGCCCACAGCCCACATAACAAAGGAGTGGCTACGGACCAACTCTGTGAATGTCCTGGAGAGGCCCAGCCAGAGCCCAGACTTGAACCTGATTTGAACATCTCAGGAGAGATCTGAAAATGGCTGTGCACCGATGCTCTCCCTCCAACCTGATGGAGCTTGAGAGGTACTGCAAAGAAGAATGGGAGAAATTGCACCAAAATAGGTGTGCCAAGCTTGTAGCATCATAGTCAAAACGACTTGAGGCTGTAATCGGTGCGAAGTGCTTCAACAAAGTATTGAGCAAAGGCTGTGAATACTTATGTACAGTACATGTGTTTTTTTTTTTTTTTTTTTTTTTTTTCCCTTTTTTTATTTTTAATAAATTGCAAAGATTTCAAAACAAACTTCTTTCACGTTGTCATTATGGGGTATAGTTTGTAGAATGTTGAGGAAAAAATGAATTTAATTCATTTTGGAATAAGGCTGTAACATAACAAAATGTGTCAAACGTTAAGCGCTGTGAATACTTTCTGGAGGCTCTGTATAAGATGCACACACTATATATTGCCAAAGGTTTTGGAACACCCCTCCAAATCATTGGATTCAGGCGTTCCAATCACCTCCATGGCCACAGGTGTAAAAAAAATCAATCACCTAGGCATGCAGACTGCTTCTTCAAACATTTGTGAAAGAATGAGTCACTCTCAGGAGCGTGGTATCGTGATAGGTTGCCACCTGTGCAATAAGTCCATCCGTGAAATTTCCTTGCTACTAAATATTCCACGGTCAACTGTTAGTGGTGTTATAACAAAGTGGAAGCAACTGGGAACAACATCAACTCAGCCACAAAGTGGTAGGCTTCGCAAAATGACAGAGTGGGGTCAGCGCAGTGTGCAGAAGTCGCCAACTGTCTGCAGAGTCAATAGCTAAAGACCTCCAAGCTCGGTGTAGCCTTCAGATTAGCACAACAACAGTGCATAGTTTCATAGAATGGGTTTCCGTGGTCAGCAGCTGCATTTAAGCTTTACATCACCAAGTTCAATGCAAAGCGTCGGATGCAGTGCTGTAAAGCACACCGCCACTGGACTCTAGAGCAGTGGAGACTTGTTTTCTGGAGTGATGAATCACACCTCTCTGTCTGGCAATCCGATGGATGTGTCTGAATTTGGCGGTTGCCAGGAGAACTGTACTTGCCTGACTGCATTGTGCCAAGTGTAAAGTTGTGTGGAGGGGGATTAGGGTGTGGGGTTGTTTTTCAGGGGTTGGGCTTGGCCTCTTAGTTCCACTGAAGGGAACTCTTAAGGCGTTGGCATACCACGGCATTTTGGACAATTTCATACTCCCAACTTTGTGGGAACAGTTTGGGGATGGCCCCTTTTTGTTCCAACATGACTGCGCACCAGTGCACAAAGCAAGGTCCATAAAGACATGGATGAGCGAGTTTGGGGTGGAGGAACTTGACTGGCCTGCACAGAGTCCTGACCTCAACCTGATAGAACACTTTTGGGATGAATTAGGACGGAGGCTGTGAGCCAGGACTTCTCGCCCTACAACAGTACCTGACCTCAGAAATGCGCTTCTGGAAGAATGGTCAAATATTCCCATAGACACACTCCTAAACCTTGTGGATAGCCTTCCCAGACGAGTTGAAGCTATTATAGTTGCAAAGGATGGACCAACTCAATATTGAACCCTATGGAGTAAGACTGGGATGCCATTTAAGTTCATGTGTGTGAAAAGGCAGGCGTCCTAATACTTTTGGCAATATAGTGTATATACATGCATAGGTAATATACCAAAAATGATCAAACCATCAACTGGCCCATAGGAAAAGTGGATATACAACCCCACAAAAAAAAAACAAATTTCAGGCAGTACTTCAACCTTTGTCCTTTCTTCCAAAAGCGACATCAGTCTTCTATTTGACTGAAAATATTTTGTTGCCTTCTTTGTGCCCCAACCTTTCTCATCCTAAGGAAGTGGCTCTTCATTACTTGGATGTGGTTAGGGTTGTTCTAGTATACCTGAACTCTACTGCTTGTATTCAGAACACTGATTCTTTGTTCATCATTATGGATGACCCAACGAAAGGCCAGCAGCATCATCGTCCTCTATATGCTGGTGAATTCACCAAATGGTGGTTCAAGCTTATACCCTGTCAGGCTAATAACCTCTGTTTCTTGTTATTGCTCACTCTACTAGGGCAATGAGTGCATTTTGGGCCTTTGATCATTCTGCTTCCATTATTCAGGTTTGAAAAGTCGCTATTTGGTTCTTTGTACACACTTTTACCAAGTTCGACAAGGTTGACGTGGTTGCCTCTGCAGATGCCTGTTTCAAAAGGTATTGCAGTCTGCCGGGTTGTGGTTTCTTGCTTTTGGTTTGGGTTTGATTTGGCCCACGGTTTTGTCTTTGGCACTGCTTTGGGATGTCCCATCTGTTTTTGATCTGACGATCTAACTGTCCTTCAATGAACGGAAGTGGAAACGGGATTTTTGTAGTCACGGTAAAATCCTTTTCTCTGTATTCGTTGAAGGGCACAACACCCGTCCAATTTTTTTCTCATCTCGGTTGTGTTGCTTCTAATACTACTGGCTACTAACTGAGATATATGTTAGAGAATGGGGGTTTGGCCACCAACAGGGGCTGTCCCCAAGATGCCAAGCCCAACCCCTTTTTTTGTTGCACCTAGTGTCCTGCACCTGCAGGTGGCATAACCAAACCCTTCCTTATGATATCAAGATCTGGCTGTGTTCTTCAGTGAACTTAAAAAAAGGACTTTAGGGGAGTACAAAAATTCAGTTTTTTTTCCCCACTTTTTTGTCCATTTGTTGGGTCATAATGAATTAAAAAATTATTGCCAATGTAAAGCCTTCTATTTAACCTAACTAAAATTAAAATAATTTTAGTAGGTAAATCAGTCATACATTTTTTGTTAACTGTTACATACTGATGTTGCTAAATTAATCATCTCCGGTCATATAATGGGGTAAAAGATGAACGCTTGAACACACAGATGATTGAATTGAGATATATATATATACACATATATACTTACCCTTGCGTTGAAAAAAAATATAGTTATGGATGTAGAGCTGCTTTAATTTGTGTCTTTTTCTGCTACAAGTAAGAATACATATAACTTGTGTATTCAGACAACCCTGATTTTAGCTTTAATCTTTCTGATACTTTGGCCCAAACCTTGTTATCCAGTTGATGCTTCAGTCTGGTATGTGTGTTGTGGTGTTCCAGCTAAGTTTTTATTCTCTCTTTAACCACTTGCCTACTGTGCACTTATACCCCCTTCCTTACCAGGCCAATATTCAGCTTTGACAGCGCTGTCACACTTTGAATGACAATTGCGTGCTCATGCAACATTATACCCATATGAAATTTTTATAATTTTTTTTCTCACAAATAGAGCTTTCTTTTGGTGGTATTTACTTGCTGCTGGGTGTTTTTACTTTTTGCGCTATAAACAAAAAAAAAAAAAAAAAAAAAAAAAAAAATTTGAAAAAAAGTTTCTTTGTTTCTATTATAAAATTTTGCAAACAGGTAATTTTTCTCCTTCACTGATGTGCATTGATGAGACGGCACTGATGGGCACTGATAGGCGGCACTGATGATGGGTAATGGTAGGCGGCACTGACTGGCGCAACTGCTGGGCACTGGCGCAACTGACTGACGACACTGCTGGGATGCACTGGTGGGCACAGGTGGGCGGCACTGCTGGGCACAGGTGGATGGAACTGGTGGGTGGCACTGCTGGTCACCGATCATCAGGGCACTGATCGTCAGTACCCTGATGATTGGTGCCGCTCCCTGCTCTGACAACTGCCGGTAATCGGCAGTACTTTCCTCCTCGATCTGACCGCATGAGGAAAGTGCAGCCGAGAACTGGCAATTGCATTTCCCGGTGATCAGCGCATCATTGGACACGGCTTCTCACGTAGTAAAAGGCTGCTGTGATTGGCCTTTTACCACATCACGTGATCAGCTGTGTCCGTAGGACACAGCGATCACGGAGATTGCCGTTTGCGCGTCACCGGGGGCGCGCGGGAGAGCGCATTCTGGGAGGATGTCGTATGACGGCCTCCCAGAACTGGCCGGCCGCGGTGCAGCTGTCATTCGGCTATCTGCGGTCGGCAACTAGTTAAGAAAATATTAGATTTGCCTAATGTGTTTATTATATGTTTAAGCTGCCTTTAAAGTAGTTGCTTTTCTTGATTTCTCTTCAAGTTATTTACTGTACAGCTGACACTTGGAGATCAGTCATGGGAAGCAGAGAGCACAAGCATTAAGAAAGCGCAACATGCTGCAGCCAGTCTATCATTGTTGGAAACCAAACTCCCCAAACCTGCTGCAAGACAGATTAAAAACATTATCAGCAACAACCCAGGTAAGCTTGCTGTTACCTTACTCAAAATTAAAATTGTTATAATATTTTACATAATTTAGTCACGTTTATTAATAGTGAATTGTGCAATATATGGTCATTCTACCCAAAACTGACTTTTCACTTCTTTATAGATGCTGGTTTCTCATATTTCTCTGGAAACAAGAGATGTAGGGTCTTCTAGTTGGAATTCCAACTGCTCTTGGTCCTGCTGTTGCATGCTTTATAATGAGAAAGCCAATAAGATTTCATAATAGTCACAGCAACTGGGCAGGTCCAGGAGTTCAGATGCAGATATTTCATTGTCTGCATCCTGAGAGGTATAAGAACCCAAAGGGTAATTTAATTCACCAGAAAGCTTCTATATCGGAAATATCAGGTTTGGGTAGACTGAGGTTCCTTATAGACTTGTTAGGTTTAGGATTAGCTCACACTGCAGTGGTTTTATTTGCTATTTTTTAAGGAATTTAAATGGGGCAAAGGAAAAGATCTCTTGTATCCCTGTGACTAGAAGTTCCTGCTAATGTCTCTTCATAGTTGCTTCACATGACACACTGACACATCTATACATAGGCTTTATCATAAGGTGATCTAGAACTAATAGTCTCAGCAGTGCCGACACATGGTAATTGTTTTTATCTGCCGCCACACAGAAGCTGCTGCACGGCGTGGAAATGTATATTCATCAACAAGACTCTCTGCTAAAGGTAAATTGCATTGGCTGAAGGGTAATGTTACTGTGATGGGCTGGTATTCTTTACCTAATAAACCAGTGATGTTTTATGGGTTAATATCACACTTTATGTGGGCTGCCAGAACCTTAACAAAACATTTGCTTTATTGTTAAATGTACTTACCAGTATTTCGATTAGGTTACTTGACAAGAGTTTCTTGTAATGATCTCCATTGCAATTGTGAGACCATCTAACAATTCAAACAGTTGCACCTGACCAGCTTAAGAGATCACTGTCATGGGAGATATGACAGAAGTGGACAAGTACTAATAGATTATTGGTATGTAGTAGATGTGACTGCCTGCCAGGTGAAGTGCGCATCTTCGAACGGTCTGAAGATGCAGGACCAGACCATATGTAAATGCAGGAACACATGTAAATGACTAGCTGTAGTTTGAAGCTACAATATGGAATGCAGGAAGGTGAGTATCCTGCAAATTATTCTCTGTGCTATCATACTGTCATTACAAATACAAATCTACTCAAATTTCCCGGTGTCAGAGCCTTGCTGTGACATGCTACGTACACCTCCAGTTCAGTGGGATTGTTTTCCCATACTCTTCTACAGAACTAAGGCTAGTGATACCCCATGGGCTGACCAAGAAAAAACAATCAATACCCCTGTCTATGCTAAACAGCATGAATGGAGGAATCTCCCCTGCTGGCTATTGTATTCAGTCAGCTGTAGCACCTGTGGCTGTCTGATTACGCAAACAGTGGCTACAAATGATAGAATGCAGTCACTGTTTGGCCCACAATTTTCAACCTGGCTCTTTTGTTGAGCTGGGGAGTGCCAACAGGTCGTTTTATTTATTTATTTTTTTATCCGTGTATTACTAAGAAGGTGCCAAAAGGCCACTTTGAGCCATGTATGCCGGATGCCAGATGAGGTAGTCAGTCAGTCAGTCAGTCTTGTGAAGTTCCTTATAGCTGAACTCCAGACAGCTAAAATATGTTCTCCT